AAAATCCTGAAAATCCAAATTCCTACACATGTCCATAAGACATAGTCTGCTTTCCTCTCTTACTTGCCAGGCCTAATTCAATGGTATGTTCTCCTCAAAGTTTTTGACAAGTAGTTTTTTTTTTTTTTTTTTTCTGTTTCTCAGGACCTTTTCATATGCTGTTACTTTTCTCTGAAAGTTGTTTTTTCTTTTCCACTTCTTCATCTGGCTTCATCCTCAAAAATCTAATGGCTTGAAGTGTAATGTTCCTGTTTCAAATATCCCCTGGTCTCATAAGTCTGGAAGGCCTCCCCATTACACACTCTCAGGTCACCCTCTACTTTAGATCTCTGTAGCATAGTACACCGTTACTAGTTATGAGATGTTCTGCATAATCTTTCTCTGTGTATAGGAAGCATCTGTAAGTACTTGTCTAGTTTACTTTTTTATTCTTGATGTCTAAAACACTGCTTACTGCAAGAACATTCCATGGAATCCTTGTTGAATGAATGAATAAGTGGCCTCTACTAAATTTTATAAATAGCAGCTGCATCCACAAACCAGGGCAATACTCAAGTTAAACCATCTTCCATGAACATGAACCTCCATCAGTCACTTTGTCCTCAAACAGTCAGGGCCATAATATAAATATTGCAACAGCAGTGACCATCTTGACCAGAGTCATAAATCAAGCACACCCAGAATGTACTTTTTACAGAATCTTGCTCAAATATCTATTTTTCTCATTCTGAGGGTTTTCAGAATTTGATGTGGCTAGAGTTGATTTGTAAAACATCTGTTTTCAGAAACATTCCACCAAGAAACCATTGGATATTATCTAATTATTTACCATTGACAAAAGACAGAGAAAGCAATTAGTTTTTTTGAATAATAGGCTATGACATATACACAGTAAAGAACTGAATATATGCAAACATACATTTTGAGAAGTATTATAGTATCTGCACTACTTGACAATGTAACCTCTCTTTTCCCTTCCACTAACACCCACCATCATTTCAATGTAAAAATCAATTTCTAAATGCAATAGAATCATGATAAAGCTGGCAGAATAAGAAATGTGAAAAAAGATTACCATCTGGAAAATGAGTATTAATAACTAAAGAACTTCAGGTTCTAGCATAAATGAGAGATATTTAAAAGATCTTGACAATATTCCTCTTTCTTAAAATTAACTATATTTTATAGTGTTGAAAAAAGCATTTGGAGGCTTCAAATACATTACATGAATTTGCTGAAAGTAATTTAGTAATATTAAAAATTGACAAAGAACATGCTTTTCTTCAGGAAAGAATGTGTGAAATCGTGTCATGTTAATTGAACCCTGCTGTGGTAGGCAAGTAAGAAGCTGATTTGCATGGAGTACAACCAAGAATACACTCTGTCTCTAGAAATGGGATTTTTAAAAGATGACAGGAGAAAAGCTGTACTTGGAAGCACTAGCTTTGTTTGATATTAAATGGAAAATGATTATTATAATGTTCTCTCTTTGTATTTAGAAATTATGAAGGAAAGAACACATTTTGTTCACCTCCCTCTATGTTTTGCCATCCAGCAAGGCAAGAGAGGTAAACTGAAGTTTTGTTTGTTCTGCCTGGATGAGTGAAGTGGGGAAATGTCTACCTGTTCCCTCCTGGGTGGACCTGGAATACCTAAAGCAGGACAATGGCAGTGCAGCTTTCAGGACCTCATTTATCCCGTATCATCTCTGACTGCATAGGAATTGTGAGAACAAGAGCGGGCTCATCTAACCTCTTGTTGGCTGCCTAGACCATAAGGTGTAAAGTTACAGAGCAGCTTTTGGCCATGATTTAGGGTAGATTACATGGACCACAAAGGGGAAAACAGAAATCCAAATCGATCAGGAAAACAAAACTGCACAATGGAAAAATATGGTAGAGAGTATTGAGGGGGTCATGGATCCTGATTCTGCTTTTCTTTGTTCTATGGATACACCAGGGAAAGAAGTCAGGTTAATTTTTCCCTGATTCTTTGGGCATCTTTTAGAACAAGTGACACTCAACACAGCTGGAGTAGTAAGAAAGGAGAAAGAAATCACCCAAGTTAGACCGCATATACTTTGTTAGGGACAGTGCCACATTTAACTGTTCTGGGCACTGCTTTATGCTGGCACTAAAGTAGATGCTCAGTAAATACTCCTGAATTAATGGATAATTATTTCACAATTAGGGGTAGAACTGGTGCACAAGGATTGCCTATGTTACCTCAAATACAATGATGAAAGACTACATTTAGCACCACCATTTGCAAGGGATGTAATCTTAGGTAAGTAATCTCTCACTGCCTCTACTTCCTCATTTTGAAACAGAAATTGTATCTACTTGAAAAAATCTTTGTGAAGATTACATGAGCTGAAAATTAGGATGGAAAGCATGTAGAACAGTGCCCTGTTCAAGGTAAAATTCTATGAACATTAACAGCTTTCATCTCTGCTTGTAAAAATCTAGACAGGAGTGCTTATCAAAGGCTTAAGTTTTTTCATGAGTAATCTGTCATGTACTTCAGAGTAATTACTACATGGACAATAATCAAGACAGGAAAGAGTCTCTAAGGTCATTGTTCTAGGTGAGGAACCAAGCGCCAGAGTCAGCAAGGGGCTATCCAAAGACATGCCCTCATAGCAGAGTCAGGCCTAGAACCCAGTCTGCTTTCTTGATACTTTCAAACATTACACTCAAACAAAACCATTAAAAATTGAGGTGTAAGTAAAGCAGATGTCCATCAGCAACATGATTAAGGCTGTAGTGCAGGACAATAATACCTGGTGTTTTAGTTCTTGTTTAGCAACAGGTACTTAAGAGTTACAGCTCCCAGCAATTTGTAAGCGATTTTGTGAAATGATGCATTATAGACATTAATAGTAGTAAGGACTGGCTGCTTTTAATCTAGTCATGTAACTTACATGAAGCTGATTAAAAGTATTTAGAGTAATATGAAAAGATAAATCACCCACTGTGATACCCAGATGCCCATAGGTGTAGTTTGTATTAAGAACAAAACAGACAAATCAACAAATTCTGAAACTATTTCTTTGTTACAATTCTAAGAGAACCTTCAGTCATAAAATAACTTTGAGTGTTGTTCAGACTAATTATCATTATAATACAGGCTGTTACATTTGTGGCCTGGCAGCATCCCTTAATGTGGACAAGCATTCAGAATTCACGCATTTCAGTGTGAATGCTTATCTCCAATAACCACAGAATGGGGAAACTACATTTCCAGTGTTTTCCCACATTGTCTAAGTTTTTAAGCAATCACAAATCTAAAGCATTCAAATAACTGAGAATAGTGCTTTTATCCTTAATTCTATTTCCCTGTTTTTATAGTGCATAAAAGTCACAAGTTATATATTTAAATAGTTTTCTCTGAATAACTCTGTACCTCAAACAAATGTATGTCTAAGTTTAGAAATATTCTTAATCACCAAAGATTAGCTGAAACTCAACCAGTATTCAAGGAATTCAGATTGTCAGATTCCTTGGATTAGAAGAAAAAATTATAATCAATTTATAGTTCTAAGTTTTTGAAATAAGTCAATCAATAAATATTTAGATGGTAGCTCATAATAATGTCTTCAGTAGAAGATACAGTCCTGAAGAAGAATCTCAAATGCCTTGCTCTTTCTTCTACAATTTTTGCCAATAAACCTTTCAGCTTCACCAAAAACTAACTCTTAATGGTTTGTTGTAACCTTCAGAAATAATACTTGTCTCAAGAAAATTTATTAAAGTAAGGAATACTATAACTGAAACAAGCCAAACTATAACAAATCTCTCCAGGAAAAGATAAAAGTTTTGTTTTATCTTAAACATTTTAGTTACCAGAGAATCCTTCATTTTAAAGACAAGAGAATTTTCAACCTACAGGACCAGTTTACAATTGATACCTGCTTACACAAAGAAAAACGCCTTCTGTTTTAACATCAAGATCATAAAGAAAACAGTAACACTATTAAACCAGAAATGGCAGATATTTTAGCTAGAAAATAAAGACAATAAAAGAGCCTCTGTTAGCACAGCCTCGGTATCTTTAGTACTATTTAAAAGAGTTTGAAATCTCATTTTCAAATACAACACTGATAGGGAGCTATGGCTGAAGAAAGAAGAAAAAAATTCCCTTCAACTAAATCTCATTGTTGATAATCTGATATTTTCTAAGGGCAATAAAAAGAAGGAAGAATAATGAGTTCAAGATCAGTTTCACATGTGACTTAGTATTTTATATATATTTTAATCTAATAGGAATGTAGCTGCATTTTTTAGAAGAGTTTTCCTTAAAGCTCTTACAGATCATACATGTTACCACATCCTAATATATTTATAAAGAATGTATATACATTTTTAATCTTAAATGACTTTGAGGTTAAATAGTGCCAGATATTAGAAAAATTACTTGCAAAACAATATAGGTAAACCCTTACAGAATGTTATTGGGTTTCCCCCCAAAGTGACTATATTCAATGAAAGATATGTTTATCTTAATTTAAAGCTTTCATATTCAATACTTAGGTTGACTATTTCCTTCTAGCTACCTTATTAATCACATGATCTTAAATAATGTTTATAGAATAAGCTGCATCTAACATAAAGCTATGTGAAGGATCCTTACTGTATATGCAAACAGGTAATCACAGTTGAAATTTTTGATGTTACAAAATTCTATCAAGATAACAGACATGTGGTCTGCTTAGCAAGGCTACTGCAGCATAATTTAAAATTGTTAGTGGAAATCTTAAACAACTACAAATAGTCACTTAATACTTTAATCGTTTGAAAGTGAAGCTTTATAATTATCCCTCAATGATTATAATCCATTGTTTCGATTAACTTAATCAAACTGCTCTACTTCTTTAAAAATAAAACGGGGCACATGTTCTATTCGCTAATTCTGACTGGAAACTAAGTTGTTATCTTACCAAAGCCCTTACATTTACCAGTGAGCCATTCATATATAATGAAATAAACAGATACACTTACCTGTAATTAAAGTACAAAGTTGAAAATGCTGGAGAAACTTTCAATAGACAGAAAAGAAACTGAAAGGGCAGCATCTGCTACCATCAGCTCAGGCTTTTTGGCTTTACAAGTGACAGCAATACTAGTCCTGGCCCACTACCCGTGTGTTATGTAACATCTCATTACTCTCGGCCATCAAACTGCTACCAAGCCGGCGAGGCACTAGAGGGCAAGAGTGTCACATGCAAGACCCGTCGCCAAGGGACCGGCTTTGGTACCACTTCGGGAGACAGATGCTAAGCTGATAAATAACACGATGCCTGAACGCATCGGCGAACTTGCAATGTTTCTCAAAGAATATTTTAAATGTCAATTTTCCGACTAGCCGAAGAGTTAACAGGTTAATAAATATGCATAAGCAAATAACCACACTATGCAAAACTTTCAGGATATATTTACAAACCCGCAGTCACTCAGCAGGCTTTTTCTTTTCATTGTTTAAATAAACTTATTCAGAACAGGAGAGAAAAAGCTGAATTAATGAAAGGAGTGTGGATTTCAGGATTCCTTCATTTCAAGCCTGGAGAAACTTGTTAGTAAGATCGCGATCGCGATCGCGGCGCCGCCTCCGGAGCCCGCATCTGCAGCTGCCCGGGTCCGGTTCTGGGCGAGGACCTGCCGGGTCTGTCCTCGCGATTACCTCGGGCTGCAGCCGTGGGCGCGCATCCTCCTCCGGCCTCGGCCCCGCGGGCTGCGAGCGCCCAGGCTCCGGCGACGCG